TTTACATTCATTTGTAATACTCTGTACAAAGTTGATAAATATACAGAATGTGCGAATGACGAGAGAATAGTCTTCTATTTGACGTCATCGAAGCGCCAAAGGGCGCATCATATTGCATACGTGCACACAATATGGTTGCCTATAAGAAACCATTAGTGCCACATCGGTCACGTGGTTAAATATAAATCAAGCTTTGAACTGGTCGGTATGGGTGTTGTCATGGTTGCTAAGTCATTGTCCATTTATACTCAAAATAATAACAACCATAGTGCCAACCATGGAGTTTTTTTCAGCCAACCAAGGTTTTTTTTCTATGTGAACGGACATAGCCTGGTTAGTAACTTTTATCGACGTTATTGTGCTTACCAGTGGCGCTCACGTTAGAGATCTCGGCACGTGCCGAGACTCGGGACTGAGACGGTCGGGACCTAGTCGGCACGTGCCGAAAAATAAAATCGATCTCGGTCCCGAAACTCGGCACGTGCCGAGATTTGCTGCCTGATCGCTCAGCACCAACCTAGTCACCAACCCAGAGGTTTACTGCAGCGACAAGTCGTCCACCTAGCCATCAACCCAACTCGTTCCGACGTCAGCCTAGTGTTCAACTGTCTCGTCGAGGTGTAGAGTTGCATTGAAGGATATGTCGTGTTACCGTGAGATCATTACAATCTCTTGCATAATCATACAAACTGGAGTGCGCCCGCAGCGACTGAATTAAATACAATTTGAGCAGCAATCACCACTGTGATTGCTCATATAGCCAAAGGGTTCATGTAGTTCTATTGCATTTTGCCTTAGTTATTTTTATTACAAAACGCGTCGATATTACAACATTGTAGTGAGGTCAATAAGCTTAGAGTGAGCAATGTCGATAAAAAGAATCATTTGTTAAAATAAACGTTTTCGTTTTCTCAACTTAGAATGGTTGGAAAATTCAGTTGCAAACATCACACAGAGAAATTCCATTTCCCCAGTGCTAAAACCATGAATGACTAATTCTGCTTTTTAATGTGAATTTTCAAGTTTTTCGAAAGAAAACGAAGAACATTGAAGCACTACTCTATAATATACACAATACACAATAAAATGGCATATTTTAAAGTTTGAAACAAGATCTTTATTATGGTATATAACATGTATGGGTAAAATGTATGTTTCAGTCTGTGTATTGAGACCAAACAATTGAACCAGCGAACGTATGCTAACTCCTTAAATACACAGTCCTCAAAAAATGGTGATGATTGAATCAATCCTATTTGCGTGACACATTAGCTGCCTACAATGAAATGCAATATTAACCTCGCACATATTTGTATGTCGATATTTGTGAGTTTAAATTCGCTCTCATAATCACGGCAACCGTCCGTAAATTGGATTAAAAGTGTGTTTACTAGTATACTGAACATGGCTTTCCATTACCTTATAATTATACGTATAAACGATTTCACTGAACAACCGCCCTTTTCGGTGCTTGATTTCGACATGTTTTACTATTTTCACAACTATGACAATCGTACTGGTTCAAAGTATTGCCCTACTATGGAATATATGATTTGATCTCAATTGTCCCGAGTATTGCTTATCCCTATGACGAAACTAATTCATTTATAATATTATCTCATTTGTTTTATGTATTGGCCATCTCTACGGATATAATATTATGTCGATGGTCTATGTACTGACCACCGCTGGTGAGATTATATTGTTCAACACAAGTAGAATAATATTATGTCCATAACAAGGGTCCATGTATCGTGCAACTAGGATAAAATTATCTCTCCAATGATAAAGTATTCTCCTTGAATGGTTTCAACAACAAGGGAGATAATATTATCCCTGAGTTGTCCCAATGGAGCTGTTCTCGGAAAAGCTGTTGAGGGCAGGGGATTTTTTCTATTTTTTGTAGGGGGCGGGAAATATCAGTACCCCCAGTGGGCAGGGCAGATTTCTAAAAACAAATGCAAGGACAGGAAAACTTGTTTTTAGTGGGTAGGGTACTTACATAAAAAAATATCGCAGTGTGGGCAAAACAGCCTTTAGGGCAGGGTATAATAAAAAACGCATTGGGGCAAATAACAGCGAAAATTTATTTCAGCTAAAATAAAGTATTTTACTGTATATCAATTAGTCTTTTCGAGCCCGAAATAAAATAACATCTCAGACTACTATAGTAACATTGACATGCGTGCATCGGTGTGTTTTTTATTTAATCATTCCAAAGATTTAGGAACACGAAAAAACACGCAGATATACTTTTCCCTTGTTTATTGTTTATGCGTGGCAAGTATGTGTGACAGTTTATTACTTCTGTGTGAATATAATACAATTATATATTTTGGTACGGTATCACTCTTTTGGGAGGATATGGTGGCCCTGAAAAGGATCGTTTAGTTTAGTTTCGTTAGAAAACGATATGAATTTACTCCAATCTATGACCCGCGTATGGATCAGCCTACCTTGTCACAAAATGTGTGTGTGGAGGGGGGGGGGGCGATCTTCTTAACTGTGAAACTGAAACGGACATGTCGTGAAAATTACAACTCAACCTCGATTTCTTCTTCAATAGCATACATACATACATACATACATACATACATACATACACACACAGTAGCAGCGACAGCGGTAGCCCCACGAAGAAAATGTTGGAGGCGTCGCCCCTTCAAAATCAAGCGGAACCGATTGTGTCAGCAAAATTTCCCCCTCAAAATGCAGGAAATAGCGTTTTAGAGGGTCTAGATTTCAAATTTGTGCATGCCCCCGGACCCCCTAGAGGTTGTGAGCAGATCTCGCTCCATGCAAAATGTCATGCCGTCCCATCTGAATTACAGATGTGAACTAAAACGTACAACGTTGCCATAGATCCCGTCGAGTAAATTGTTTTAGGGCGGAGGCGTTCTCATTGACCCAATAGAAATAGGGTCTTTACTCCGATGTTCGAACAAATATTGGCCAAATTAATGCACGGTGTGCTTACTTGTAGTTACCATATGATTACATGCATGAAATGAAATACGGAGTAAACATGAAATGATTATGAAATGATGATTTCAAGCAGTGTATACTGTCAATAAATGTGCTATGAATAAACACAAACATACATTATTCTATAAACAGTCTAAGGTTATATATACAGATCGATAAAACGAATGAATCCCGCCCACACATACTGATATTTCTGGAAATTACGTAAATACACTGTGTGGTGATACTGAGCAGCAAATGTTTATAATCAGTGTCATCTATCGAGAACCTTGTACAGCAAGCGAAATTTCACAGTTACAACTGCAACCTAGTTTATTTAGTCCATTTCGATGAAATTCAGCTCCCCATCTACTAAATAGCATACGTCTAGTCAACTACAGAATTTGATTTTGTCAAATGTCGGAATAGGCTACTTTGGCCAGTGATATATGGGGAATTTGACGGAGGAGACATTCACAGCAATCGAATCAAAACAAAATTGAAACTACTTTGCGAGAGGAAGTCGACATTTACGGAAACCTCGAAGACAGCATAATTATGATTACTGCAGATGCGAGGCATGGCTGGCGAAAAACTCTCATGACACTGACGTGATTGCTATTGACAATGAAACCCACAAATTCATTGCCAGTGCAGTTGTTACCAACGAAGACATCCGATTTCGTAGCGCCATGAAATGAATGGCGCGCTATAAATCAGCAGTACAATTGAATATATCGACATCTTGACAATTATGGAGCGAACGTAAAAAATCACGCCCATAACAGGAATATGTCTGTCAATAAGTACCCGAGATAAGAGAGGCCGGGGAATGAGAATCAGAATGATACATGGTTCAACTTTTACTAAGAACCGTGATTGTACTACCTAGTCCGCTGGTTATTGACCACGTCAGCAGTGTCATGATAGACTGTAATTCCTCCTCACTTCAGTCATCGCATTTGGAGAAGTAATATTCTCCAACCAAGTTTTGAGGCATTTGATATTGCGTCACGACAGGCTCTGACGACCTCAGTCATTTCCCTGGATGTTGGTGAAACGATCATTATTTAGAAATTCCCGCTAACTTTTACAAAGGCCGCATTGCCATCATGAGCAATGCTTTATCGGAGGCGGCCCGGGACTATGGATTGAATACTACATGTATAGCTTGGTCAGCTAATGTAGGTCAGGTAATCGAATGTTGAGGTAATCGCAAGTCGAGCGAACCGAATGTCGAGACGTTTGGACGTGAAAATAACCGAATCTTGTGACAATTGAATGTAAAGGTAATGTCTAAATAACGACACAATTGTAACATAAACAATGATAAAATAATATTGTAGCAATTACACAATAATGAAATAACTAAGAAATAAAGTTGAAATAATGAAACAATAGCAATACGATGCTGCAGTAATAACACAATGGAATAAGCGCAAAATAAAGACCAAATAACTGAATAATGACACAAAGCTAATTTTGGCGGTATTCTCATTCCATATGCAGGACGTGTAGGCTATATTATGGAGAACGAAATTCGTGTACGAGGTTGACCTTCTTTCAAAATGCAGTTATATATTAATTTTGAAGCTGCAAATTTAAAATTTGATAAACCCCCTTACTCTGAATCTACGATTAATATCGAGTGAACACCATATTGACAATCCAGAATCTCCAATTTAAATTGCCTGAGCATCTGTTTTTGGAGTGTCAAAAATGTACTGCCATTAAAATCAGCCAGTAGTGATTCGGATTATACATTCTGGCATCTGTGCACATTTGTTACGGCATTTCCCTTTTTGGAGGATGTAAATTCATATACAAAGTATTTTTCAGATGAAAAACTTTATTTACAAATAATGTACACATTTACAAAATACGCATTAAACAATCAATAGAAAAATTAGCAGAACAAGACACTAAAATGCAAATTGAAAATTCAGAAAGTTAAAAACAAAAACAAAAAGCCAAATTCATTTTGATTTCTTGGTCTTTGTTTTCTTTTCGCCACCTGCTGTCGGTTTGGCCTTCACCTTTGCTTTTGGTTTAGTGTCCTTTTTAGTTGTAGTTTTCGTCGTCTTAGTACTCACAACTTTCGTCTTTTTCTTCTCTGCTTCTGTCGCAACATCTTTCCTCTTCGACTTAGCCTTGGGTGACTTTGTACTTGGTTTTTTCTTTGATTTCGGAGATTTCGGATCTTTCACTTTTTTGCTTTTTTTCGTGGTCTCCACGTCGCCGGCACCGCTGTCATCATTCGCAGATTCTTTTACTTTCTTCTTCACTTTATCCTTTTTCAATGGCTTCTTCTTACTGGGCTTTGGGATTTTTCCGATTTTAAATCGACCAGTGGCACCAACCAGTCCCATTGAGTTTTTTGGTCTTATGAGCAGACCGGATTCAAGTCCCTTGGCCAAGGCTTGCTTCAGAAGTGGTTTGATACGGATTGGGTCAACTGTTGGATACGTGGACAGGATCCAGCGTTTAATACCTTGCACTGACGCTCCATTGCGACTGTTCAGCTCCTGAACCGCTTCAATCACCATGTCCAAAGTCTTTGGGTGGGTTGGAAGTGGTCTCTTCGCCTTAACGTCAGCCATGTGTGTTGAATTCAAACCACAGTAGATTGACGAGTTAACTAAAAGTTCCAAGCAGCCGTTTACAAGTTTAACCACCCAATCAAGCGAAGCAACCTGTCACCACACCGAATACAATGACTTGAATGAACAGACGAGTGCAACACACCTGTGCTTTATACTTTAATTACGAACCTCGGCGTAACCACCGATATCGCTGGTCACACTATGCTCGGCGAAAAAAAAATGTGTGTTTTCAGCCTATGATATTCATAGGAAAAGAAAGATTACGGCAGAAAAATTACATACCATTGCCACACATGTATGTTTATTTGATTATTAGGGTTATGTTTCTTTCAAACCCTTTCAAAAACATTTTTTCTCTCGCCACAAATTTGCAATGAAAATACAAAATTCTGCCTCGGAAAGAACACATTCTAGAATTTGTTTCATTTCTATGAAAATCCAAGCAACTTCTTGCACACCAAACATTATTAGTCGTTTCTCTCTACATTGATATTACAGTAAACGTAACTAGGACGCTAGCTGAAATCAAAAACTGAGAGAAAATTGATATTAAAACCAGAATTCGAACAAACATAGATAGGCTGCATTCAGAGGTCGTGACCTTTACGAAAAAACACCATGATGTTATATCCCGCGACATGTGATGATCGTGAATGTTTCCTTATATATATATATAGACAAAACAATAATGTGTTAGCAAAGACGTGTTACGACACCCAAATCAAATGAATAAATAAATGAATAAATAAATACAAATTAACCAAATGCCAGACGTATGGAACCAGATCATATTATACTAATATATATTTGGACACAGAAATGGTTTAAAATTTTGCTAAGCGATTCCTCGTGATTGGCTATTGGCAGGCCCTAAGTCCTGAACTGGTTTTTGAATTATGAACCTCAGTTGTTTGTACTATGAATTTTTACCAATTATCTATTCCAAATGACCACGACAGTAGAGCTGACGCTGTGCATGTATGGCATTGACCTCTTGTTAAAAATCTTTTTCAGCATTATTGTTTAGTTTGTGTAACTTAATGCATGCTTCATATTGTCGAGTTTATGGATGTTTATGATGTTGAACTATGTTTTGTGTGAACGCCCAGAATCTACGTTTTGAACTGATACTTAATAACTTTATAAGGCCCCTTATGATGATAAGTTTAAACATTTGTAAGTATTTGCCACACATAGTTTTGAAGTTTTTAAGAAGTTCATGAGCACGGAATATAATGGGAAGGATATTGGCCCACATGGTTCTAAGAGATTTTCAGAGTTGTCGATTAATGTGTTGTTTTTAGAATAGTTTAGAATAACATTTGTTCATGATCAATAGAATTATATGTAACTCGGTATTTGTAATTTTAGCTTTTTCCACTTGAACTAAGGGACAGTTCAAATTTGTCAGAGGAGGAATGTGTTATGTAAGCGACTTTGCACAATCGGTTCACACGCCGTTGCTCTATTGTTTAGAATCAACAACTGACATATTTAGGGTGGAGGTAATAAACATATATAACAGGAATTTTATAAATAGATTGTTTACTTATTGTATTTAGTAGTTGCAACTTCGCAAGGCTTTAACCGTGAGACACATTCCTGGTAATCACGTGATTGTGTCAACGACTACAGAAAGAGGACGGTACAGCGAAGGGTTACCTCAGCTGCCTGCTTGTGTGAATAAAGCTGGACTATCTGTAATGAACTATTGTGTATTCATTTGGGTCGAATCTGGTATCTCTACGTGTAAGTGTTAACGGCCAAGCGATAAGAAGTTAACTGATCCCCGAACACAACGCTCTACCGAAACCAAGAAACACAGTACGTAAGTATTGCGAAGTGATGAAATATACAAAAATGTACAAAATCACGTGATATATTTTCCCACTTTTTTGGTTCATGGGCCCTTGACCACTCCATAGTAACAGATGGGACGGCATTTTCACACGATGTCATGCAATCAGTGCACTGTTGTCATAGGCGTGTATCTGATTTTGCCAAGGTAACATTGAAATCGAATGGAATTCAAATCACAGCCAGAAGTCTGTAATATAATTATTCTATGCATATATGCCTCAGAATCTTAACTACTGGTGACCAGCGACAAATTACTGAGTAAGACCAACAAAATTAACGAATCAATCGACCGTGCAGCTAAAAAGTCCAGTTTGGCACTAAAGCTCGTTTATACAATATGAGTTTTCCTAGCAACTATGGTGAAAAAAAAACTAGCTCCTTGGGAGCTAGATGGTTATTTAAATAATAATAAAAACAAAACATTGTATGCGTTGAATTAAAAGTGACGTGTATTCATTAAACTACAAACTAAAAAAAAAATTTATTATATATTATTTTTTTATTCTATATAGCAGTACATTCAATTAGGCTTGCACAATAATATTTCACGAATAAAACAACATTTACAAATAACAACAAAATTCTTTCTAAGAAATGCGACTACATTGTTTTTAAAATTATTTGTTAAAAATATTAATTGTATCCTTTTTTGACATTGTATTAAACAGAGAAAATGTACGAGGAAAGTATGAACGTTTTCTGACATTTACTCGACATTTTAGGAGATGGAAAAACGAGCGCAACCTCGTAGAAGGAAATGTAAAGGGATTATTATAATAATTATAATATGAATGAAAGGTTCTTTGTGTAAAAATACAAGTCAGGAATTTGTCGACGTATTTCTAAAGGAGGTAAATTGAAATGGTTTGACCCAATACATACAAATTTGATAAATTACTTTAAAACTCGCTCATTTTTAAAGGCTTTGCTTACACAAGTATGCATATGATCTGTAAAATGAAGTTTACTTGTTAATAAAACACCCAAATCACGTATAATCGTGACTCTACTAACAACAACCTTACGAATTTTATATACGAATTACGCTCAATGCTAAATGATATGACATTACATTTACTGTTTGCATCTAGAATACCAACCAACTACACGATCAAGATTAAGCTTAATACAATCAGATGATTTTTTTTATACAAGTACATTTGTATACAGCTTTGAAATCATCATTTATTTAGAATTCCTAACGCTGCTTGGCAGGTCATTGGCATACATTATGAACAGTAACGCCCCCAACAATGACCTTTTAGGGACCCCTGAAGAAACCGCACCAGTCGGAGACATAACCATTCGTAATTACATTCTGGCATTTTTATGCAAATATGATTGAAACCATAGTGATAAATTACCATAAATCCCATAAAATGATGACTTGTGTAAAAGTAAGCTGTGGTTAATCAAGTCGCACGCCTTGGAAAAATTCTTCTAAATAGGGTCAAGGTTCAACATGGCATTTATTTTTAGTTGATTTGCTAATAAAATCAGTATACGAAACTAAGTTCATAACAGTTGACCTACCTCATATAAAACCATGCTAAGTCTCACTTACGGAGTTTTTCACATGAGCAGCTTTGTTAAATAACGGTAAATAAAGAGATGAGACTGTAATTACATACATTGTTTCTATCGCCTGATTTCAAAACCGGTACAATATTTGATTTCATAAAAACAAAAGGAACAACGCCCAACTGAATGGATTTGGTAAAGCGGGGTGTCGTCACCTGCGTACGCTCGAGAATTGAGTGACGATAACAACACATACTAAAAACGCAAATACTCATGGGTAGACGCTTGTTTGTAAACAACGACACGCTATGGGCATCTGACCATGTGCAGGTGACGACTCCCCGCTTTAAAAAATAACGTCAATGGGATGGTCAACCCTTCCACACATTTCCGTAATATAATTCGTGGTATATCCGGACAACTTGTTTTGTTAAAATCGACACTCAGCAAAGCAGATTTAACCTTATCTACTGAGAACATAATTTACATTTATTA